CGCAGAAGGTATGAGTGAAGCTCTGGGTTTTTCTTGTTTTAACTGTAATCCTTCACTCATCCTTACTTAGTGGTACAACTCCGATAGCTAATGGGAATTGTTGCAGAAATTAAAGGCCATTTTTTAATAAGAGCTTTCACATTATCAAAAACATACTTAAGTTACTTTACAAAAAACCCACAAAATTAAACATATGGTCATGCAGATTTGCAATGAAATTTATTACATGGGAAACAGATTAAATGAAAGGCTACTACCTGATGAGATTATACAGAATAGCCCATACCGTAATATATTCAAACAAACATTCTAAAAAATTACCACAGAAATGATTTAATACTATGAGTCAAAATATTTAAAAAAATATTTTTGACACACACACATACCCTTTTCTTTAAGTGAAAAGATGCTGGTAATTGCCAACTTAAATTGGGATAGTCCAGACCACAAGTTTATTAAAAATGAACACATGATACTATTTCACCCCCGGAAGATCAACTGGACTATGAAATAGTTTTTCAAAGTAAGTATTTGTAGCTTTATTACTGGAATTGTTTATAATTACACTAGACAAAGCACTTGAAAATATATAATAGAGTCCAATTTTGCATGCGTCAGGAAGTGGATTAGGTAACATGTTGGGTTAAGAGTTACAGTGGTCACCCTTAAAATCTCACTGATTTTACCTATGTTAATTAGATACACATTCTTTCTCAAAAACTCTGGTCCTTGTGTGTGTTCTCAAGGTTGTAGCCACTGACTTGAGACAAAAATACTTTCTTACTGCTCTTTTAATCCTCTCAGTACTGCTGAAGCAACACAGCTGAAGACAGTGGAGTTACTCCAGTTTAACATGAATTAAGAATCTGGCCCAGTGATTTAAAATATTGGAGAACTATTAAGTTCCAGACAAATTTACATTAAGGTGGAGTTAGTTGACAATATTGATCAGTAAATTAGGGATAAAACACATTAAAGGGATGTTGTAATTTATCTAAAATCAAGCATTACAAATCCATGAAGTTTTGAGTTAAGGTTACACTTAAAAGAAATCCAAACATAATAAGATAAGGAACCCAGATACTTTGACATGTAGTGACATCATACAATAACCATGCCTTTATCATGAAGGTATTTTAATGTCTGGTCCCAGTTTAAATGTTACTGATTTTTTAATTACACGTGATTTTTTTTTCATGTTTTCCCCTTTATAGCATCGCTACATCCAACCTACTCCCCACAAGGGTCATCACGCACTCCTTGGCTGAAGCTAAGGAGCCAGCTCAATATTTCAAATTGACAGAAAAAAAAAACAATTTTTAAAACAAATGTAGTGCTGGTGAAAAGTGACCAATTGCCAGCAAAAGGAGTTGTCGATCAGTCTCCAGAACTGCACAGAAACTGGCAGTGCCAGCTTTCTTGTTATGTTCTGCCAATACATTTCACCTTATTTTGGATACACCTTCAAAGGGTTCAGATAGTAGTTTCATATTTCATGGACTCCCTGCTAAGACTTCTAACAAAAGGTGTCAATGGCTAATGCCAGAAAATACTGCTGAGCTTCAGATAAACGTGTATGTGTCCTCCAGACTTCGCTGGAGATCAGTTGCAGCCTAGGGGTGATTCAGAAAGATAGACTGTTTCATGAAAAGGATGGTGGCAAGTTATTTCAATGATGACTAAGAAAGAAAAAGTAAAATGTGGAAATAAACTATCCATCACACATTTCTCATTGTGTCAATTGGCTTGACAAGTGTGCAGTATGTTCTCAGGTTGTCAGTTGCCAAGAGTATGAAGCCTGAGGGGTTGCTGTGGAATTTGGAAACCAAAAATCCATTAATGAAAAAGAAAACAGATTTTTTTTGAGAGAGAGAGAGAGAGAGAGAGAGAAAACTTGAAGCCTTGAAAAAAATCAGAAAGACTGGATTATTCTGATTCGCAGTGTCAACATGAACTCCCTATAGAGATTTTATCTGGTATCTCTACCGACCTGTTCAACAATGTAAAGTGCATACCTTTGCAGAAAATTGTATCCTTACCTGCACAGTAGGTATGGTTTCAAAAGATACAGGACCAAGAGAGCTACCAAATCTGAAACAGTAGTTTCATCAAATAATGCTGTTTCATACTGTATTAGTGGCAGTGCTGAACATCTGAGAGCAATTGCTTTCCAAGGCCAGGAAAAGCAAATACTTAACAATTCAACTTGATGAATCAACTGATGTCTCTGGTGCTGCAGAGGTTCTGGCATTTGAGAGACGTTTCTTGAGGTTCTGTTGAAGGCGACTTACTCATTTGTAAAGTTGGGACAGGATAAACAGGAGACTGCTTATCTGAGACAATAAAAGTTTTCCACATTCAGTGAAAGCCATGTATTGCCATCTGTGAGAACAGTGCCAAAGCAATGACAAGTATGAATAGCAGTCTGATCACATGGATGCAAAACACCACATAGCTTCAGTGTTTCATAAACCACAAATTTCTTGCTGCTAAGAAAATGCCTGGAAATCTGTGCCAGATCCTTCATGAAGCTGTTGAAGTAGTGAACTTAATTAATAGCTCTCCATTCAATTTTCTGTTTGTCCTATTCTGTGGGTACATCTTCACTACCCGCCGTATCAGCGGGTAGCAATCGATTTATCTGGGATCGATATATCGCGTCTCGTTAAGACGCGATATATCGATCCCCGAACGCACTCACCGTCGACTCCAGAACTCCACCAGAGTGAGCGGCGGTAGCGCAGTCGATGGGGGAGCCGCAGCCGTCGATCCCGCGCCGTGTGGACCCCAGATAATTCGATCCAAGATACTTCAACTTCAGCTACACTATTTGTATACGTAGACCAGCCCTGTGATATCTTTCACCAGCAACTCCTCTTTCACACTAAGGGGAGATAGCGCTCATAAAATAAAATGCTAAGCAGAATCTTCAAATTAGGAGAAGAATGATCAACAATCTCCCCTTACTGATGTCTTCAATAATTCACCTTGGGTGGTAGGCTTCAATTTGAGTTGCCATCTTTGAGCATCTAAATGAGCTGATTCTTCTCTCCAAAGGAAGAATGGGAGTGTCTGTCTACGCACAACAGGATAGAATCGTGCATCAGAAAACTTGGAAATATATGCCCTCTAGTTTGTAAAAAAAGAAACTCAGATTAGCTTCCTGTTTCAGACTTTATCAAGGTAACCTGGTAAAAACTCTCAGGAACTCAAATCAGCATCTGAAATAAATTCAGTCCCAGCTGCAGGACTATGTTTTTGATGAACCACAAAAGAGAAAAAGAGGCAGATAACTCAGTAGTACTGACTAGCCCACTGCAAGACAAAGTGGCAGACTTCTCCTCTGACAACATCTCATAGCTGACTTTCCCTAGCCAAAAACTCAGCTGATTTTGGCTGCCTCTGAAAAAGAAGGATCCAGCTTTAGTTGTACAAACTATGAAAGGTTTCATCCTTGTTTCTCTAAGCCAGGTTTCTCTTCAGTGATTGTGAAAAAAACAAAGTATTGGAATCATCTCTCAAGTGAAAATAAATTTAAACTGTGCATTTTCTGAATGAGGCCTCCTGTTGAACATATCCCAACAGCCAAGACAGGCTCATCCATAACACTGAACTGCAAGTATCAGAGGAGTAGCCATGTTAGTCTGGATCTGTAAAAAGCAACAAAGAGTCCTGTGGCACCTTATAGACTAACAGACATATTGGAGCCTAAGCTTTCGTGGGTGAATACTCACTTTGTCAGATCTGAAACCGAGTCTGACGAAGTGAGTATTCACCCAAGAAAGCTTATGCTCCAATACATCTGTTAGTTTATAAGGTGCCACAGGACTCTGTCACTGAATTGCAAGTGTATTTAAAAGATTTCACTCTCCTTTTAATTTAGAATTCTATATTCAGTTATCACAGGTGTGGTTGCCTGCATTTGAATGGGGTTTAAAGTCTTGGGAGGAAAAAGATCACAAAACATTTCTTATTACCAGCTCCGTGAGTCTGAGGAATCCTGACCTAAGCTACCAAATAGCCATGATGTAAACAGTCACATATGAATTGAATTTGAACCATTGATTAGAATATTCTGTTTATTTGTGTGCTCTTCTCCAGATGACGGTATATTACCTAAAAGGGTAAAACAAATCTATATGCTCTCTTTTTATTTAAATACAGCAAAATGAAATTTAAGCCATGTAAATTACATATATTTTTAGAAGCCAGAAGCTTAAATTGCCTTCTATTTAAGTACACTGGTATTTGCATTGTCACAGTATATTATATAGATTTGATGCATAACATAGAACTGTACTAATCTTGGTGGTAATCATAACAACAAGAAAAGTTGTTTAGGGATTTTCTATTTTTATTTTTAAGAATAACAAAAACCTTTCCATTGAATGGCCACATGTAAAACTATGGTTTCTGTGTAGAGAGACCGAGGCTGCTTATTACCTACAGTATGCTAGCTATGATGACCAGACCACCATAGTTGTGACAACTAATGTAGCTGCCTCCAGGGTAAAACAAAGGTTTACATATTACACAAGCAATTTAACTGTTTTCTAAACATATTGCCAAGACAGTGGGAGTTGGCAGCCAACACTGTGTTTTAGGTTTTGGATACTTGGATTAGAAGTGACTGCTGATTACAGACCTTTTTATTTGTCTTCTGCGAACTACAAGCATACTAGTAACCCAGCAAAGAATTCTTCACAGCACTTAAACTTGTCTTCATGGCTTCCCAAAGATTACATACACAAATCACTCCACAAAAGTGGAAAAAGAGTCTTGTGCATAGATAACTACACAAGACAATGGTCTTGTTCTAACTCTTATAGAGTAGCTGAAAGTGAAATGTTTTATAATCCTTTTTGTGTAGTAATCAGGGAAGAAAGAAAACAGTTTGGGCAAAGATTATCCACAAGAAAGACTTTTTTGGGGTTCCATCTGAAACACAATAAAGAACATAATTAACTTCACAATTCTTTGTGTTTTTCATTTGACTGCAGGGAGGAGATGAAAGAGGACTGTTAAGCCTTGCATTCCATCCCAATTATAAGAAAAATGGAAAGCTGTATGTGTCTTATACCACCAACCAAGAACGGTGGGCCATTGGACCTCATGACCACATCCTTAGGGTCGTAGAATACACAGTATCCAGGTACCATTAAAAGTCAAAAAATCAAAAACCTTATGCTGTTCATCACTCTTCTTTCTTTGGTATTTCTTATTTTTAAAATGAATTGTAACATTACAATGGATATATTTAGGTTCTTTCAGGAAGTACCACTGGGTTAATTTCAAGCAATAGTTTTGAAACAGCAGTGACTATATTGCCTCATTCTGTTTTTTTAATACACTTTCAATTATCATTTGTATTAGTCATTCCCAAATTATTCTGTGTAATATCTTTTGTGACATAGCGATTTCTATGAAATTGTTTGATGTTTTACTATAGAGTTACAATAGCTCTTCTGTCATTTGACTAAATTTAAGTTTATTGTTAAAAATAGGAAATCAAGAATGGCATGTAGCCAATCAGTGGCTGCTAGCAGCAAGTATCTCCAATGGCTTGATGGGGCACTAGATTGGGAGGGATCTGAGTTACCACAGAGAATTCTATCCCAGGCATCTGGCTGATGGGTCTTGCCCACATGCTCAGGATCTAACTGATCTTCATATTGGGGGTCAGAAAGGAATATTCCCCTGGGTCAGATTGGCAGAGACTCTGGGAGTTGGGGGCAGGGAGGTTCGCCTTCCTCTGCAGCATGGGGCATGGGTCAATTGCAGGTTTAAACTAATGTAAATAGTGAATTCTCTGTAACTTGAAGTCTTTAAACCATGATTTGAGGACTTCAGTAACTCAGCAAGAGGTTAGGGGTCTGTTACAGGAGTAGGTGGGTGAGGTTCTGTCGCCTACAATGTGCAGGAGGTCAGACTAGATGATCATGATGGTCCCTTCTGACCTTTGAGTCTATGAATCTATTTTTATATCTTTATACCACAGGAAAAATCCACACCAGGTTGATATGAGAACAGCAAGAGTGTTTCTAGAAGTAGCAGAGCTACACCGAAAACATCTAGGAGGACAGCTTCTGTTTGGCCCAGATGGCTTCTTATACATTTTCCTTGGTGATGGAATGATCACTCTAGATGATATGGAGGAGATGGATGGTTTAAGGTACAAAACCTGCCAATAGATAGGTTTCTTTTTCTTAATTATTTGTCTTTGCCTTTTGACAATAATTAGGGTCAGACATTTGAGTCCCCCAGTGTTGTGACCAGTCACCACAAACACAGAGGGACAAACCCTGCTCACCTTACTCATGCTACTAAGCATCATTGACTTTGGAGAATGAGTTAAGCAAATATTCTCAGTACATTCTTGCAGCTGAAATAAATCTTTTCATACTTGTGTGTTATCAAAGCATTTAATTAGCTGTCACCAGCAGTTGTGATTAGATTTAAACTAGGGCTGTCAAACGATTAAAAAAATTAATTGCAATTAACCACGAGATTAAAAAAAAGTCCCAATTAATTGCAGTTTTAACCGCATTGTTAAACACTAATAGAATACCATTTATTAAAATATTTTGGATGTTTTCTACATTTTCAAATATGCTGATTTCAATTACAACACAATTACAACTTTATATTATTTTTATTATAAACATTTGCACTGTAAAAAGATAAACAAAAGAGACTCTGTGTGTTGGGGGGGAAGTGTGTGTGTGTTGGGGGAGTGCACTCTCTTTAAGCAGAGCATTCAAGAGCCTGAACACTTTTTTAGTCAGCAGCTCTCACTCCTGAGCTAGCAGCAGCACGAGGCAGGCTCCCCCCATTCCCTAACCCCAGCCCTGCAGCAACTTGGTACATGGGTGGAGGGAGGGGGACACCCCCGACATCAGGCCTTACCTCTCCCCCAGCACGCCTGACTGCACAGCCAACAGGAGGCAGGCTCCTGGTCCAGAGCAGCTTGGCCAGGGATGGCTCCATGGAGTGGGGGGGAGGAGCAGCAGTGGAGCAGGGTGGCTCGCCCTGAACATGGAATGGCCCCCCTCACCCATCCCTAAGGCCAGCCCTCATTACGAAGTCTCTTGTCCCTGGTCACCTCCTGCTCACTGCCACAGCCTGTGCCTCACTCCCCGCCCAGCTCCCACCAACTCCCGTCTCCAGAGGTGTGCTATTAACACTCATTAAAAAAAATAACATTAATCTGTTTTAAGTTAATCACATGTGTTAACTGCAATTGACAGCCCTAATTTAAACATGACAAAGGCTCCCTCTCCTAAATAATTTTTTTCCAAACAGGCCAATTTAAAGAAGCAAATGTAGTATAAGAAAGGTTACAGACAGGTTACTGAGGTAAATCATGGCCCTGCAGCAACCAGAAAAACATCCAGACAGCAAATGAAGCAATCCTATTTCGGGTGCTGCCCCTACAGCTTTGTCCATCTACTTGGTTCATTGTGCTAAATTCCAGTTGGAATAACACTTGCTTGTCATTTAGAATAAGTAATGTATGAGTCCAGATGGAGAGATCTTCCCTCATTAACTGACAGGAGGTGCTACACTCAGAGGCCTCATCACCACTGATAGACAAGCAGATATTCTGTAGCTTTTGCAACAAGCATATTATCAGTGGCAAAACTGAAGAATAATTCCAACATTTTATTTTAAATGTATATACAATAATGGGAGACTAAAACAGATTGAGGATTGGATATGGGAAAGGACAGAAAGCAATTAATTTAAATATTTAGTCGATGCATGTTTTTGCAAAGAAATTTTGATAGTATAATATAAAGTTGAGTTATCCTTTTTCCACCAATCATGAACATTATGAGAAAATGTTTTTGCCTTGTTCTATTCCTCGTGACAAAAGAATTCTTGTTCACTACTAACATCAACATTTCCTATCAAAGCTCCATTCAAAGATAGATATCATTCTTGAATCCAAGAACATGATTCAAAACCATATTAAATATGCAAACACACATATTATATAGCTATATAATGAGTACAGCCACAGTTACCTTAGATAGGTTAAAACGTAAAAGGGATGTAAACCCTCATGTTTCAGGGCATAAACCAATTGTCAGGATTTGAAGAAACTTACCCTATTGGCAGGTTGTTTCATAAAGGAGCACTAAGTACCTCCTTATAAACATAATCCTGCCAGAGACAGGATAATGAACTAGATGACCCATTGATCAGTTCAGGGATGGCACTCCCTATGATTCCTATGTTCCTTAAAAGTAATCTACATATGGCTCAGTGAAATAAGTGGTTCCCTTTATTGCTTCATTGTGGTACTATTTAGATGAAATATATCAGCTGAAATACTTTTTAATATCAATTATGTTATCCTCCAACTTTCTCAGTGATTTTACAGGTTCTGTATTACGTCTGGACGTAGATACTGATTTGTGCAATGTTCCTTATTCCATACCACGGAGCAACCCACACTTTAACAGCACCAATCAACCCCCTGAAATTTTTGCACATGGACTCCACAATCCAGGCAGGTAAGTAAATTATATTTGTCATTGTTGAGGAGCAGATACTGTTGCGATCCAGGTGCTTCTTAGGCTTGCTAATTCCAGGACAAATTCTGCTTTCAGATATTTTATACATGCTTCTATTGAAACCAACAGGAGTGACAGACATCAGAGGACAGAAATCCACCCATAGAGTTAAGATTTATCACCCAAAAAAAGGAATTGGAAGGAATATGTCACAGAATCTTGAATAGCACCCCTTTGAGACTGGGCCTTTGCAATACATCCATCAGGCCAGGTTGGGACCATAGTTTTGTAAGTAGGTTTCCTACTCAGGGATGGATTAACACAGGGGCTTTAGGGGCTGCAGCCCAGGGCCTCGGGCTAAGGGGGGGCCCACAAAAATAAATCCATAATTTTATACAATTCAGTGGTCACCAACCCATCAATCGCAATCAACAGGTCGATCCTGGAGCCTTTGCCAGTCGATCACGATCTCCAGTGGCGCAGCAGGGCTCAGGCAGGCTGCCTGCATGCCGTGTTTCCATGCCGCTCCCAGAAGCAGCCAGCTGCTGGCACGTCTCTCCGTGTCCCTGTGGGGAGGAGGAGAGTGTGTTGCCATGCACAGCACCCAGCACCGTCCCCGCAGCTCCCATTGGCTGGTTCCCGGGCAATGGGAGCTGCGGGGTGGCAATTACGGGCACGGGCAATGCACGCTCTCCTCCTCCCCCCCGCGAGGGGCATGCAGAGATGTGCCAGCAGCCGGCCACAGTCGCTCCCGGGAACGTCGTGGGAACACAGCATGCAGGCAGCCTGCTGTGCTGCCGGATGAGAGCCACCTGTGGTAAGCACTTCCCAGCTGGAGCCTACACTTCACATCCCCTCCTGCACCCCAACCCTCTGCCCCAGGTCAGAATCCCCTCCTGCACCCAAACTCCCTCCCAGAGCTGGCACCCCCTCACCCTTTCCTGCACCCCAACACACTGCCCCAGCCTGGAGCCCCCTCCTGCACCCAAACTCCCTCCCAGAAAGAAACTAATATAATAGCTGTTCTAAGGTAAGAAGTAGGCTATTTTGAATTAACTTAACTATATTCTACATGTTCTACTGAAATGTAACCACAGAATGGCTTTATGTTAATTAAAAGCCAAGTTTAGCATAGCGTTAATAGCCTCAATCCATAATTGTGATCATTTTGTTTTAAATTAGGAAAAAGACTTGTATACAGGGGCCCCACAAAATCTAATAGCCCTGGGTCCACAAGAGAGTTAATCCGGCCTTGTTCCTACTGAGCAGTAAAATGCACTGTTTCTTTGTAAGCAGGCCAATCATTTTTCTATTATGAAATTGGAAATATGGTAATGGTATACAGGAGATCTTCAACTTTAGAGAACTATTTCAAATCAAGGCTGTTTTTACTACAAGTTGTTGCCAGCTAGTGTATCTTTAATAGCACATCTTAAATGGTGGTGTCTCTCCAATGCCTAGTAGATGCATGGCTAAATAAGAAAAAATACCAGCAACATTTGAGATTATTTCACACCCTGAGAGACCCCAAGGAATACATGGTTATAGAAGCTGAACTACAATATCTTCTTGCCCTTAGAGTTAGTTGCTTCCTGACTAAGATGGAGGTACATTCATAAGACAGTTCAAGGAAGTTTGCACTGCTGCTGCCCAGGCTGTACCCGTCCTGAGCAAAGAAAGTGTATTGTTGTCAATAAAGCCCTTCCCAGAGCACTAAATTCACTTTTAGAAAGGAAAAAGAAGGAATGCATTCTTGTCCATATGCCTGTTTTCAGGATATTGAAAATTTTCTGTAGTGTTTTATCTTGATCTGAACATTTGTTTAAAATGCCTCAATCAGAGACAGCAAGGTCTAGTTGGCTAAATATGAAGATGAAATGCAGGAACTTTTATATTATATTCCCAGCTCTGCCAGGTACTTATTCTGTGGCCTTGGGCAAACCAATTAGCTATGTCTCAGATTCCCTATCTGAAAAGGGGGATAGTAATTTTGGAGGGGAAGAGAGGGTGTAAACATTAATGTTTTTATAATGATCTGAAGATATAAATCACTAGATACGTGCTTGGTATTATATTAAGAATCTTTTGATACACCTTTGTACAAAGGAGTGAGTTAAAGTGTGGTATATTAAGAAATATTTCACACAGTTTGATAGCAATAATTCTAGAGTCAGCAGAAGTCAGCTAATAAAGCCATCAGCAAGCTGCTTAAAACCCTCAGAGGTTTGTACAGATTTTTCATAGTTCAAAAAATATATTTGGTAGAAAAAAAGGCACAAAATGTTCAAGTAATAAATCATCTCTTGAAGTGGCAGAAACAGAAGTATTTTTAAAATAATGGGAGAGACATCTGTTAGCTTTAAGAAAGAAAAGAGAACTCAATTAACCACTGCAACTTAAAATGAAGTGTAGAGTAATACAGAGCAATGGCTGACAGGTTAAAAAAGTGAAACCTTTTCTTAACAGAAAAAAAGGCAAGTAGAAAACAAACGGAAATATCTGATGCAATCTCAACAATAACAAAGAGCAGAGGGAGTCACATATTTTGTAGTTCATAAATTAGGGGCGGTAATATTAATGGGCAGGTCTACACTACAGCCTAAGTCGATATAACTTATGTCACTTAGGGGGGAAACATCCTACTCCAGCGCTACGTTGGCAGGAGACGCTCTCCCGCCTATATAGCTTCCACTTCTTGCCAAGGTGCAGTAATTATGCCAACAGGAAAGTGCTCTCCTGTTGGCATAGCATGTCTTCACCAGATGCCTTGCCCAGTAACATTTAAGGCCATGCTTTGAAAAACAGAAGAAATTAAATTTGGTTAAAAAAGGAGTTGTTCTTTGCTTCCTTTCTATGGTCCAACACTGCTATGCAATAAGAATCAAGTTGCATAGATTTGGTGAGCCTTACAGAATAAAGCCGGTTAGAGTACCAATAATTCCAAATATTATTCAGCAGTGCCCAATTCTTGGTGACAAATAGGAAAAAAGTCTATCCATTCTACAGAATATGTCATGAGGCATGGGGGGGGTTGTAGCTGTAGTTTTGTTTTTGTTTTTTTGTCACAAAAGTATGAACGCTTTCTTATGCACACAAACTTTCTTTGTGATCAGGGCACAGTGAATAATATACTCCACAAAAATATACAGACCACAAAGAGAATAGTCCTCCAAAATTTGACTTTTTATTCTATTAGTTGAGAAATAAGAGTCCATAAGAAGTACAACTAGCTTTCCCCTTGTGAGATCATGTCTTTTATGACTTTTCTAACATGCTTTTTGATGCACAGGTGTGCCGTGGATCGCCACCCAACAGATCTAAATATTAATTTAACAATACTTTGCTCAGACTCAAATGGAAAAAATAGATCTTCAGCAAGAATCTTGCAAATAGTAAAGGGGAAAGACTATGGTAAGTTTTATCCAAAACTATTATGACAAACAGCCTTCAAAAAGTCTGTGGAATAATGAATATGGTAGTATTGCCATATTAGCGTGTATTGCCATAGGAAAATAGAAAAAAACAGATAAAAAGGAATATTGTAAACTTAATAGGAAACCAATGAAAGACAAAGTACAAGCAAATAAAGGAAAGAAAAGAAAAAATGTAAATGACTGAGGTCTGTTATACACGTTTGTTACCATATGTGACTGCTTATAAAGAAAATTTTCTGAAAGATCAGGAAGTGATGAAAATGTATGCTTACTCATTCACATGTAACCTCTTAAGACACAGAATTTAAGTCTTAGGCAATGTGCCTCTTGTAATGGAGTCTAAATGAGAGGCAAAACAACAGAGCACAACTATGATGGGGTGACTAGGAGACGATAATGGGACTGAGGAGAGGCCAATTAACCAGATAGGCCACAGCTGAGGGGAATTAGGTGGCCTAAGAAATCCCCTGAATCAATATGGAGCAGGAACAGGTGGGGCTAGTATAAAACCAGGAATCTGGCAGCAAAAAGGGGCTGCAGTGAGGGAACGTGTAGCCACTCTTTGAACATTAGAGAGCGAAGGAAAGAAAACTAGATTGAGAGGGTGTAGGAAAAGACTCAGGGAAAGGGCAGCAAAGTTTAAGATGGTGCAGCTCTTGGCTGAGTAGAGGATCCCTGAGCTAGAGGGCAAGCCAGAGTTCCCTAATAGCCACTGGGAACTGGCACAGATGGGAAGATGGATGGTCTTAAGATGGGAAGATGTGGATGGGAAGACTGCCGGAGATAGTGTGTATGGAGGGACTTTGATATCTGGGAAGGGGAGGACTCTAGTGACCTGGCAGGAAGCCATGAAGCTAGAGCACCCTGAGTCACACACAGAGAGAGGTGGCAGAGCAAGCAAACAAGTTGCAGAAGGGGGCATAGGACCTGGAAAGAGCTAATCCCCAAAGCAGCCAGGAGGAGGTGCCCTAGCAGTGAGTGGGACCCTGTTCCAACAATCAAATAGGGAAACTACTGAACACTGTTTAAATTTCAGTTAAAATGTTCAGTTTGGAAATGTACAATATAATATTACTTCACAAGTCATAACATGGCGCACAGTACATCAGGAAACTTGGATTTTAAAGAATTGTACATAATTTATTGACTTGGTGCTATTATTGCTAAATAAGTCTTTGAATTATATTTAATGTTAAAGTCTGATGCTTGCTGAGGACACTTGCAGGTACAGACAAAAGCCAGATGACCACAGCCCAGAGCTATCTTCTGCCTATGTTGAACATTTAACAGCTTCTAAATTCATTGTGGTAAAGTGTGGTAAAGTTCAAAGTAGTGACACTTGTATGGTATCAAGGACTGACCTAATTTCAGTCTTTAGACTGACCTATGTATACCCATTTCTCCCCCAATCTGTACTGTACTTTGAAAGTAGTACAGCTGAGCTGGCTCATGCAGTAGTCCACATATATAATACAGTCACTTCAATTTTAGTTATTTCACATATTTGGTGTTGTCATTTTATGAATGCCAAGCCAAAGAAAAATGTGGTTTAAAATGGATTTGGTAAACCACTGCTCCAATGGAATTTTGACTGCATCTCTACCGTAGATCAAACTAAACAATATTGTGGTATGGAATTGTGTCCATCCAGAAGAACTTGCCAGAGCTTGTGCAGTGGTCAGTTGCTTAAATAAAAGAAAAAAGTCATAATTTTGCTTTCTCCCTTGTATGATTTCATCCCTTATGCTCATAATCTAACCTGGGAAATTCAGTCAACAAAGACTTACAACTGGCAGTCCAACTGCAACAATATTCATGTAAAATAAAAATATCTATTGGCTGTGACTTTGATTTAAAATTACATAATCATAACAAAATCTGAGCTTGGTTTTAACCTATGTAGTCTTTAAATATAGTTTAATTGCATACATAGGATTATTTACACATTAACATCGTTGAGAAGATTATCTGATATGATTTAACAGTGCAGTTCTGTAAGACAAAAAATGCATGTAACTGTTGTCAACCCTAGCAGCAGTATAATGGCCTCAGCCTAAATAAGAAACTACAGCCAGCAATACTGATGCATGATACTGAACAATACAGGCTTATTGCATTAAGAAACTGACCTTAAAAGAAGGTAGCTTTGGGCATGATTTTCAAAAGCACAAGTCCCGCTGAAAGTCAATGGGACTTGTACTCCTACATCCCTAAACCACCCCCTTTATTATTTATAATGCTGAAGCATAACAGATCCATTCTCTGGGTGAAATTCCAGTCACATAAAAGTCAATAGCAAGACTCCCATCAACTTCAATAGGATAGTTAGGATATGACCCCTTTGGCTCTATTCTTCTCTCAGCCTTAGGTTAGGCTATGTCCCTCTATGTTTATGATGGTGTTTTCTGGTTTCCCTTATACTCAATTTCCTGTCTTATACATCCTGTACATCTCAACATTAGTGCAATTTAAATGGCAATAACTTTTCTTCATATAGTATTTGCATAATTGTTCTTAATATATGAAATTGTATTTGATCTAATGCTATGGTAGTTCCTTTTTAGAGAGCGAGCCTTCACTTCTAGAATTCAAACCATTCAGTAGTGGACCATTGGTCAGTGGATTTGTATACCGAGGTTGCCAATCTCAGAGACTTTATGGAAGTTATGTGTTTGGAGACCGCAACGGGTAGGTTTCTTAAAATCACAGTCTTAAAATATATTCACTTATGGTACATATAAAGCAACAATAATATTTTGCATGTTTGCATATTAAAGTAGTTCTGCCAACCTTGAAGTGTGGCAATGCCATAGAGAAATCCCCAGGTTTGGAAACAAGATAGGGACCACTACTTTCTGAGTCATGGCATTCTAATGAATAGCAGCAGAGGTGACATACTTGATCTCTAAAGGAGGTTGAAATGGAGATATTGATCCCAAATGCTCCTCAGGGACCCCCTAATCCACCCTGATCCTCCAAACACCTATGCCCATGCTTAACTTTTAAGTACACGAGTAGTCCCATTGACTTCAATGGATCAAGCATTTAAGCATGTGTGTAAGTATTTACAAGATCGGGGTCTAACTGATTAACAGTGCAGCTTTGAATCTTGGTCTCATGGAAACATCAATGATAGAGAAAAAATAATGCTTTCTGGATGAATGGGTGCAGTCCTGTCTCACCAAGCAAGAGAAATGCTTAGTACCAATGTGCAAGAGAAATATAATACAAAGTATTTTCAGGATATATATATTTACAATACTTTGGGCTCAATTCTGCCACACATAGATACTAAGCAACCTGAGTAAGGATGGCAGAAGGATGAATGTTATGCTTTTTTTATATTTGTACAATGCCTGCTGGGAAACTATATTGTGATTAATTTTATAGAAATGTCCATGGAACTACTTACTGCAACTCCTTTTTATTATCTCGACACTTTAAGTTCTCTTTTCAAATGCTATATAACAGTTTGCATTGTATGTGTTTGATTACAGAAATTTTTTAACGCTGCAACAGAGTCCTGTGACCAAACAGTGGCAAGAGAAACCTCTATGTCTTGGCAACAGTGGCTCATGTAGAGGCTTCTTTTCGGGACACGTTTTGGGATTTGGTGAAGATGAATCAGGTATAATAGAAAAACCTCTTATTAAGTTACAAAATAAATCTTACCAAAATTACATGCTGCACCATATAGTATTATAGTAGGTGTTTAATTGTATCAGTCTCTACAGCATAGCTTTTCTTTTCTTTTCAATTCTTTGACCAAGATTGCTATAGTATCGTCCCTCCTACTCTTTAGCATCTATGTAAGAAGCAACAGGGAGAGTGACCATGAGGTAGCAGAATGGGTGAAGGTTCCTATTTTCAATCTCTGCAGAAACGCAGAGGGTATGAACTTAAGTGAAAGGCACAAATGTAGTTTAAGTTCCATGAGCATAAGACACACATCAAAAGGAGGTCAAGAATTGGATGAAAATATCTAAATGCTACTTATTCCTCCTGTTTCAGCACTTAAAATTCTCATTCATGCTAACTGGATTTTGCATAAAGACCAATGAGAGATTTTCTTAAATTAGTAATTGACTTATATTTGCCTCTCAACACTCATTTAAATAATTAACTATGGAAGTTCAGTGCCATAGTAGGATAGGACACTAGCCTTTCACCTTTAGAAATCTGACTTCAAATCCTGAATTTGGTGTAAAGGAAAAATGAGTTTGATGATTTCACACTCATGACATCAAAAGATCATTAACTCCATTGACACAATTGGCAGGAATGTCTTCTTAATAGATACTAAGGATTTGCGTGGCAATGGGACTGCAATTCAATAGGATGTTTGCACAGCATCTAGCTCTAGCTGATGCTATTCCTTCGCTTTTATGAACAACAAATGCATACACCACCACCTTTAGAAAGGAAAAACTTGGTGTTAGATGCTTTCTAGTATATATAGTTTTTAAATCATAATGGATATTTGTCAGAACAGCCCACAGGCAGTTAATCATCTTTGTAACAAAGAGCCTGTCATACATTGCACATATTCACATCACAAAAAATAATGTACATGTATATAACTCCATATTTCAATAGTAAAGTTATTGAGTGGGCAGATGAAATTCCCCCTCCTCTCCCCGCCACCCCCCAATTTTGAAGTTATAGCTAAATTTTGAAATTCAGAAATCTTCAACTAGCTCTATAAAATGTTAAAAGTGAAAAATTTGGTTTTAAATTTGCATGACAAAGTTTGTTTCACATTTCTAGTTTTAATTGGTAAGAATTGTTTCAGACATGTTTTCAAACAGTACAATTACATTGTATTTTCCAATAATGCAAGATATTTATTTCATGAGGTTTTCATCATCTTGCAAATAGAGCTAGATGATAAGTCAGAGGTACAGCGTATTATTAAAGAACACTAATTTACTAGATCTATTTCTTTAACAGGTGAGGTGTACATTTTATCAAGCAGCAAAAGCATGTCACAGTCTCACAATGGGAAACTCTACAAGATTGTTGACCCCAAACGGTAAGCATTGCTTTATTCACATCACAGACTCAGATCAATCTGTTCTTAAGCAGTTTAATAAAAACAACTGGGGCAAAATATAAAATAAATACTCTGTGAAACAGAACAAATTATTTATGCTTCACTTTTCCGCGTAGCTCTGGTCATGTAATGCTTGAACAAAAACTGAGGGAAATTCTCAAGAGGCTTCCTAGCAGCAGATGTAGGAGCCACCAGCTGGTACACAAACACTCACCAAAAGTAACCACTATGAAGTATCATTTAAATGCTATAACATGATTTTTTAAACTCTCATGCGCAGCCTATATCTCATCTTCCTCAATCTCTGGACCTTACCCTACTGTAGCCTTGATGCTCATATTTTCAGAGTATTTGGGTAAATTTGTGTCAGCCTAGACTCCCATATTTACAGTAGAACCTTTTGAACCAATCCACATAGAAGATTCTGCTGGGATTCTGAATCATCAGTGCCTACAGCTGAGAATATACAGTACTCTCTGGTGGCAGGACAACAAATTCTTCCTGTCTTAGTGACTGATGCCCAAGGCCAGCAGGTGTGCTGTGCAAAATGGTGTAGTAGTTCACATATGGAACTGGCTGACAATGACTATATGAGGAACATACACATTTCTCCCCAAAGCATTCCTTTTTTTCTCCTGTATGGGAGATCCCACACAGAGGAAGGACACATATGAGGGCAGATCCTCATTGATTTGCCAGCTGAGGATCTGCCCAATGGTTTCTAGAGATATCTCTGCCTCCAGGCAGTAATATGCATGGATTAACTTGCTGTCATCCACCTCTTCTCCAGGTAAGTTTGTACAATAACCAGTGCACCCCAGAATTTATCTGTGCCCAGAAAAGCAAAGGCCATACAAGAACCTTCTGTTTCCCCGCCACCAAATGAATACTCCAAATTGTGTCTGAAGACCTAAAAACCAGCAACTATTTCTAACAGGCCCCCAAATCCTACCCAAATGATTTATAAAACAAAATCCATAGACTCAATAAAATTATTCTGACTTGTGATAAAAACAGGGATGAAATTAAAATCACCCAAAAAGGTTTTCCGAGGTGTAATTAGCACCAAAAGTTGTACATCAAAAATGAGAATTGTCAGACTCAAATGAACAAAAACATTGCCCAAGTTCTTTCTATACTACCCTATACACCAGTCAACATATGAAGAAGCAAATCCCTTTACCCCAATTTCAAGTTCTCTACAATGCAACTACTTCCAAGAGAATGATAGGGGATCTGAAAACTTTGCACAAAACCCCTCCCTTCCATACACCAACGTCCTCATCATCAGGGGTAACAGGAGAAATGCAGTTAAAGGGAACTCACCTTAGTTAGAGAGGTGGCCTTTTCTTCCCCTGGCACCAGCAGCTTCATCAGACTAGGCCTGTGTCATCTTAAGCCTCTTACACCTCCATCCTGCAAAAACATGCACACAGGCCACAAGATTGAACCCAATGGTAACATAAAAGAAAACAGGGCAACAACCATTGAACCAGTTGTACTAATTACTTTCACCCAACCATCCTTCAGAGAACTATTAGAATCATTCAGATCTGCCTGCTGCTTAGATCTACTTCAGCATATTTTCCTGTTCACATGAGGATAGTCCACATATTCATCATCTTTTTACTGCTCCTGTGAACAATTTGTCTTCTAACAAGAGTTGAAACTCTGAATGTTGTTGCTGGTACAGCACATGATAATGATGTGAATGTAGTAATAAATTAATTGCATTTAGAACTAGTGACAATACAATTCTAAGGGTCTGTGATTATTATCCCACCCAGATATACTGCAATTATTTAGGAAGCAGATGCGAGTACAGTCTGTCAGTCAAGGTTATTATGTGTGTTTTATGTATGCTTTCTAGAATTAAAACATTTTTTTCCCAACACAAATCTTGCTAGCCTCATTTTGATTGTTTAGTCTGTTGGTGTATGGGTTTAAGTGAATTTTTCACCTTAAATCCATTATTAGTATCCAGTTACAAGGGGCTGCCTTGATTGACCTTGGCTTTGTGTTCTTGTTGCCTTGTCTAGTAGGGTGGTCTCAAAATGACATACCTGAAAGGCCAGACCTCCCATTGCAGTGCTCCTGGTTAGGTAATTCATATGTGGGCAGGGGGGGAAGATTTGTGTTTGGTTACTGGAGAAAGGAACCTGAGCGCTATAAACATTGTCCTTGTACATTGGCATACATTTGAAATTACGTGGATTGTGGCAAAGTACATAGTTTTTGGACAAAGGAGGGTTTGTTGTTTGTTTTTAACTATTATCATTGTAGGATTTTTTTTAGGTGAACTGGACTCAGTCCAGCATCTTGGCATGGGAGCATCATTACATTTTAAGCATTAGTTTTTCATTCATTGCTAGCATACTGGTGATCAGGTATGCATTTAAGAAAGTCAGAGCCTTTGAAAAATGTAATGTCTAATGCATCATTCAGGATATACATTTTCATCTCCATCAGGGCTGGCTCCAGGTACCAGCTTGTCAAGCAGGTGCTTGGGGCGGCCACTCCGGAGAGGGGTGGCAAGTCCAGCTATTCGGCGGTAATTCAGCAGACGGTCCCTCACTCCGGCTCGGAGCGTAGGACCTCCCGCCGAATTGCCACCGCAGATCGTCTTTTTTTTTTTTTTTTGGCTGCTTGTGGTGGCCAAAACCCTGGAGCCGGCCCTGATCTCCATACAAATATCATTTATCATTTGTTTCTGATAGTGCCCACTCTGTGCTAGCTGCTTTACAGACACACACACACAAAAATGTCATCCATGTCGGAAGAGTTTTAAGTCTAAAAAAGAAAACAAAGATGAAGTGTAAGGCAAATGACCATACCGTACAAATAAAGTTGTCAAGATGGTTGCCTCTCAATAATACGTTTCACAATACAGTGCTGTGAAAGAGATGTTAGATATACAGACTATCCTAGTTACCCTCAATCTTGCAATTATCTATCAGCTGTTTCTTGTCAGCACCTTAGTAGAAGTGGGTCTCAGGAGACATGTGAACATGGAGCAAATAGCAGCTTTGTTTATCAGCTCAGTGAGAACATTCCACATGGACAAACATAGCCAAATGCTGGGTGTTGGCTACAAAGGAGTAACTCAGACACGCAGAATAAGCTTCCTCTGCCAGGGGGAATATGTTCTGTTCCCCATTCCTAGCAGCAGATCCACAAAATTACCTGCTACTGCTACCAACTAATGAAGTTACTCTTTTAGCCCAAGTAGTAGAGGCTCAGAGTTTGAATATGGAGGAGATCTGAGGTTTTATCTCTGCTCACCATAATTGGAAGTCATTATATAACCACCCCATCTGGCAAATAAAATTTTTCCCCACCACTGTGACCTCACAAACAAATTTACAGTATCAACCATTGCAAAGCCCCACTTCAAAACCTCAAGCCATGTGGTCTCTTTAAAATTCTTCCACAATTGATTGTTTAGTCAACAGCAGAAGAAATCACCCTCGCATTAGGACGTGTGGAGAAAATCCAGCAACATATCCAATGGAGTCTTCTGACCTCACTTTCTAGAGTATGATTGTCTTACATGGCAGTCAGGCTGAGTGAAATCAGAGATGGTTCACTCAGAATTAAGGTATCAGATAATTCAACTTACTGTAACAGGATCTGAGAGTGTAGTTATTCTATCTGATCTATTTGACGTGGTCTATTCTGGTTGAAGTTAGTGAGTCCTGAGTGAGGTTTGGTGATTGTGTGTCTGTGCAGAAGACGTAAGCTTGTGCTGGGATGGCAACATAGCAAACTTGCTAGGCAGAGGCCCCTTCAGGCAGAAAGAACCTGAAGCCACAATCCTTCAGCTTACAAAATTAGTGTCACAAGGGAAAAGGCTGCAAGTGCAATAGACAGTCAACTCTCTATTTCTGATAGAAAAGACTGAGTAGGTACCCCTCACAGACTGGGGAACACAGCAAAGAGACATGCAATGAGTATTGAGGATTCTATTGTCAAATATTGTTAGCTGGGTATGCGGAGACAATGAGAACCATTTGGAGAGTTGCCTGCTAGGCACGCAGTGTTGTGCAGATTTCCTGACACATCTAGACAAACTTCTAGAAGGACGAGGAGGAGCCTGTAGCAGTGGCATATACTGGTATAAATGACACAAGGAGGTGTACAAGATTAGTTCCGGAAGTCAAAGTTGGATTATTAGGAAGGCTTAAGTCCAGGTCTCTATGGTATCTTTCTCTCGCATGCCTCTGGTTCCATGTGCTAGACAGGGGGAACTACAGCAGCTCATTGTACAAATAAAATTATGTGTACAAAGGAGATGGTCACATTGTAGGCACTAGGGAAGGGAGAGACTAATATGAAAGAGAGAATTAAAATGGAACCAGACTGCTGGCAAGGAAAATAAAGACAGGTAAAATTAAACTTCTAATCAGAAGAAAGCTGACAGATGCTGAGCTGCACACCAGTTGGGCAGAATCTTCTGGTGAAGATGTCAATATCAGAAGATACACTAGGTATCTAATAGGAAAGAAAAGGTCAGTAATTCCAGCTCTGCTAGAAGAAGGATGGGTTGAGGCTGGGGCATCCAATAAGATATTAGGATTTTAGATAAAGAAGATATATAAAAATAGGCACACAATCATAATTAGGCTTGTTTAGATGAAAGGTTAGCATATGATACGCTGGGTGTAAATCTACAGTGCTAGCATGCTGCACATTAACTGTCTGTGTGACTTGTACTACAGTACCCTAAAAGTTCCTAGTCCACTGTGATCTATTCTGCTTTGAAATGACAGTAAGTCAATATTACTTATCAGTATGGATGTATACTATATCAGAGTCAGGCATATCTGCACCCATACAAAAAGGAAGGAGACAGGCAATTTTAAAAAAATCTGCTTACAGGAAGAGGAGAATGATCCTAGCATTTACAGAAAAGTAAAACTTCAGCATCAAGTATATTAGTTAAAACAGTAATTAAAGACAGAATTTCCTAGAAAAGAAAA